CCTCGGCTGAACATAAAAAACTTTTTATATTTGTAATTTCTACTATTTTAATAAATACAACCAAAAAAAAAACCGAAAAAAAAAAAAAAAAAAACAGAACAGAAAAACCGGAAAGATCCTCTAAATATTACGTTTTCTTTCATACTTTTCAGAACAACATGATAAGTAGCGAAAGAAGTCTATGAGTGATAATTTTTCTCTAAAAGGATCAATCACAGTCACTAATAGAGCATATAAATTTCTTTTGTCAAAATATTAAATAAAACTTCATCTATGTGAGAAAATTGGATGTTTCATTGAATCAGAATGACGTAGTCTGTTTCATCAGTCACACGATGATTTTAATTAGCGGATATTTCTATACATCGTTGACACAACTGTATGAAATAATCTTATGCTATTTGTAATACAATTATAGTTTTGAGTCTAGAGGGATGATAAGCAAAATACGATAGACTCGCTTTTCTTATGTAAACTTTGTCATGTATAAAATTCCACATCAGATAAGATAGTTGTTTATACATGATTTAGTTCTAAACGATGCAGAACTAAAATTCAACAGTGTATATGGATAAAAGGCATATATAATATTTTTCATTATACGTGTGATTTATTGTCATCATGAAAAAGAAATTGATTGTTATTTTTACTGATGAGTTCAGAATTTCTCGACTATGAACAGAAAAAACATTCATTCGAATAGTGTTCACATATCAAAGACATTTGAAAAAAAGAACGAAAAGCTTTTAAAAGGTTTTATAAAAAAGCTTTTTATAGTGTTTTTTTAATTTTTTACTATCAAATTTCTAAGAACATACCCCCAAAAAAAAGTTTTGTTTAAGAAGTAATGATAAAAAATTTCATCAACATTTTTGACATCGAAAAGTCGAGTATTTGTTCAAGTACTACTATAAAAATCACGAGTACGAGTAGAACCCGAGAAGTTGTACTTGAATATGAGTATTCACTCATATTTATTCGTTCCTTACATACATGCGATCTAAGAGTATAGTCAATTGCTGATATAAAAATAATTTTAAAAATTTCTGTAGACAAATTAACTGATCATAGCAAAATAAAAGAGAATATGACGTTGTTCTGAGAAATCTATACCAAATAAACGCAAATATTCTACGAAAAAATGAAAATTTGCAAACGTGATATATATTTTATTGGTTGTGATTTTAAGTAAAAAAAAGAATCAGACAAAATATTTGACATTTTTCTACTATATAAAGAAGGTTGAGGATAAATGTGTTTCCATCAAAAGCTGGATTATTAGGTATAGAAAAAGAAATTTGTTTCCATTTGAGTAATATAGTCTACCGCCAAAAAATGTCGACGTAGGAAGAATGTTGAGACAAATTGTTTCTTCTAATGAGTCTATAAGTCACATATTGTCTAAAAAAATCACGTATTACTTAATAACAAAAGGAAACATGATTTTGTATAAAATGTCGACATTTTCTACGATTATATTCGACTATTTCTCGATCTGAGGTAATAATGTATATATAGACATTGAAATAACAATAACAGTGATCGAAACTATTTTCAGCTATTTATTCGGAACAAGCGGAAGAGAAAAAAACATCTTTAAAGCATGAAATTGGTATCGGTATTATATCATGTCAACTAGACAACTTAGTTATATTATAATATGACGACAGATACTATTTTAAAGCTATGTCAAATTTATTATGGCGTAGAAGGCATGTTGTTAATAAAGTTCGTGAGATTTTTAAGGTTATATATTGTCTAAATCTTCCATAACAGGTTGTTTTAATAAGTTTACAGCCGTGAGAAAATAAGTTGATATAGTTTATGAAACAAGAAACACAGAATATTCACGTGTTACAGCTGTTATTGTATAATTATAAAAATGCTTGTTGATGATGGTACAACAACATTATTATTCTACCAGAAAAAGAGTTATTAATTTCAGAGAAAAGAAATTATTTATTGTTTCAGACAATTACTTCTGTTTCATGGGGTGAAAAAATATTTTTTCGTTTTTTCTATTAAAAAACAATAAAGAATGCAGTATCTAACGACAAACTGAGTACAATGATCAATCTAATTATGATTCAAGTATTTTGTTAGAAAATACAGTTTTTTCTTTTCCAAATTGCGTTGAAAAATAGTATCATTAAGTATACGTTGCCTATGGGTTTGAAATATTGTTGAATTGTATCGTTATAACGATTTTTGTCCATTATATATTAGTTTTTTTTTTATAATTGTATCAATTCTTTCTCGACGGTAGTGGATGTATTTATTAAAATGTGTTTGATTAATAATGTTCAATTTACTGTAGTTTAAATAGAAATATGCAATTTTTCAATAATAAATGTTGGAAAACATTGTACAAATCGTTCTTTTTATTTTGTTTATTAACTGGAAGTGATGAGATAATATTGAACAAAAAACTTTCTTCATGTTTAATTTTATTCACAAAAATATTATCATTCATGAAATTTGTCTAAATATCTAGAGTGTACGATTTAGTCTACACCTAAAAAAATTGCAATTATATTATCAATTTGTTTTTGTATTATTTTTGTATTTTATTTTTACAGAAAATAGAAATAATTATGTAATAAATATTTGTATACGCTCTGAACAAATAATAAATTTTAGACATTGAATATATATATATATATATTATATAAAAATATGTGAATAATAAAACATTCAATTAGATATGAGAATTGTATTTTTGACAATGAAGCTATTCAAATAAACAACGCCATTTCAAGTATCTCAATATATAACGTGTATGCATTTTATAGCATACAACAAAACGTTTATTTGACAAAAAAAAAGATTAAGAATACAATATACTCTTAGCTTTTATAGATATTTTTCTTATTTGCAATAAAATCTAGTTCAATCTAAACGTGTTGAATGGATCAATAAAATCTTTATTATTGATAATTTTTTTTGTTTTGAAAAGTGGGTAAAATAAAATCATTAAGTTGAATGATTTAAGGCTCATGATGTCTTTTCTAATAGTCATCAACTTCATTTTGTCGTTAAAAAATGTAGAGATTAAGCTATTCTTACGTACAAAACATACGTACAAATATGTTCTTTATAGATAATGGATCACACTATTTATCACACTAAAGATATCAAAATGTATTTTTATCCAATCAAATTGTATTTTCTTTTTCTAATGATTAAAACATCAATGTTCTGGTTAAGTCGTTAAATCCATACAATGTGAATCTTATACTTGACGAGATTTCATGCAACAACTTTTCCTATTAAATAAATAGAATATAGACTTTTCAAGACAAAATTCTTAGTTTTGTCATCGAATATGTACGAGATTACTATTAATTCTGTAATTCGCCTTTTTTTGATGAGCACGTTTTGGATATAAAACATGTTCGGTGAGATTTTTGATCTCAGAATAACAGATTATTTTTTATTCTATTTGTTTCACACATTTATACTTGATGTCAACTCTCATTGAAGTTTATTTCGTTAAAATTGACTATGATATTTTAATATTTTATAATAGTTTTACTTTATTTCATTCATAAGATAAACATTTCACATTATTTCTGGTAGTATTAATATCGAGACTAGAATAAGGGCATTTGTATAACGAATGAGAATATGTGTATTGTTATTTTCAAATTTCATTATCTGAATATAAGACAACTATTGAATAAAAAATATTATTTGTTCTCTATATCCTGTGATAAGGTAATTTCTATATTTTCTCAGATAAACTATAGGATCTGAGATAAATAAAAAACGTAACAATAAATATTAAAAAGGATTACTGATTAATAAATTTAATATTAGACTAATGTTCAAAATGCCCTGATATAGAAATATATCTCACATTGAATCCACTGTATGAATAATATTTTGTATTTTTCACGTATACATATCTATATCGAATACCTGGTGAATATAATCAAAGTTATCGAATTTTTATAAGATTTTCTTAGCAAAAAAATTGAAAAGTTTTTTTTTAATGCTGTTACCTCGCGACACTCATAGAAATATCTCAATGTACACATATACAATCTGGTGTTTTTCATTTATAATGCCAATTTAAACCGTAAGACGTGTCGTATCAAATATATGAGTTGACAACTATTCAATCATAATTTGACGGATAATAATGATGACAGTTAACAAAATTAGTGTGTGTGAACCCAGAAATATGTTTTATTTCTCTAATGTGTTAATAATAACCGGCAATAAGTGTATGTTTATATCGAAACTAGCCGAAAAACTATTAGATTATCACTTTCATTTTTTTTCCTCTCTTCTTTCTGATTTTTACATACGTGCTTGCTGGTATTTGACGTTAATATCGATTTTTCGAGAAAAAGAGAAAAAAGTTAGACATACAAGTCAACTAAGCCATTTTTAATTTTTTGTTTTCGAAAACCGACTAGCGTGGGGAAGGTGGAGACAAATGATGAATTAGTAAGTTGATGATCTTGCTAGTTGGTCAGATTAACTTATTAACCCTACTACAAACGTTTTCATGGTAGGTTTGTCCACATTTGACTAAAGAGATCTGCTATCAGTTGAAGTCTTTTTTATAACACTTAGGTGTATCATCTCTCACGATATCATGATTGATACAATATACAATACCTATCAATTGTAACAAGAAAAGATTTGTGATATAAATTTAACTTATATTGAATAGAAAGGAGCTTGAAATTGCATAGGTCTAATACTAGATGGCACTTTCTCACTTTCAAAATGACAAATGTCTACATCTGTTGTGCAATGCATTGTTGTTCTCCTTAGGATGCCTCATTGTAAAGAAAATCTTACAAATGAAGATTATGATTATTACCAGAAGATATATAATGAAAAATCGTGGGCATGGTGGTTAAATCATATCGGTGAGTATATGCAATAGTAATAATACACTAACTGCTACAAAAAGAGGATAATTCATCCATTTCATTTTTTCAGGTACATTTGCTGTGTTTGTTGTTGGTTTCTGTGGTAATATGTTATGTTTAGTGGTTTTATGTCGTCGCCGTTTAAGACGTAATTCTTATACACAATATTTAATTGCATTGGCAATTGTTGATACGGGTGCAATATTGTCAGAAGGTAAATAGAATGTTTGAATATTTCATTAATTAATTATTATTTTCTATTTTTTCGTTTAGTATTAGTGGCATCAGATGAACTGTATCAATATAGGTCGGATAAACGGACGTTACTGCAACATACGAATCTCACGTGTAAACTATACTATTATATTCGTTATATATTTTATTCTATGTCATCATGGATCATTGTTGCGCTTGCCATTGAACGTTTAGTAGCAATTAAATTTCCCTTATGGTCAAAACATATTTGTAGTGTTGTTAATGCTCGGCGCATCATATTCATTGTACTGATATTTTCAATGACAATTCAATCGTATCATACGATTGTCAAAGGTCTCGATTGTGGTCCAACATCATCGTCGTCATCTGCCACATCAACATCTGTATCCTCCTTTAAACCAAACATAACGACAACACTTTTAGATTTATCATTGACAACAGCAACAACAATAACATCAACAGTAACTAGTGGAACGACATGTAGATGTAAAACATTACCAGCTTATGCTAAAATTGATATTGTAAGTATATATATATTCCTATTAAGATTTGAAATATTTCTATATTCACTAATGAGCGAAAACTGAATGTTTGATTTTGTGTTTGTTTCAGGTGATGACAATCTATGTCTGGCGTTTAGTTCTTATGCTTCTTGTACCATCATCGATAATAATTAGTGTAAATATTTTAATAATGAATCAGTTATATAGTGAATCATCTTTGGTTGATCATAAAACAAGAACGAATCAACGTAAAAAACTAATATTATTATATAAAATATCAAAAATGTTAGTTATTGTTTCATCAGTCTATCTCGTTCTACATGTACCCGGTTCACTATTAGAAGTTCTTAAATTTATTTTTGTTCATGCACTACAAATATGTAATTCAAAATTGCGATATTATATTTATATTACACACGATATTTTTGATTTATTGACAAATTTTAATTATGGTATTAATTTTTATTTATACATAATTAGTGGAAAACATATACGTTTAGAATTATTGAGGGCAATCGATATATCTAAAAGAAACCGTGCCAATCATCGGCAACGATCAAGTTTTTTTTCATCATCATATATTCATCTTTCAAAAAATCATCATTATAACCATAATAATCATAGTAATTTCAATCACAATACGAGCACAGCTCCTAAACCATCACTTCAACGTTTGTCATCATGTTAAACATTTCTTCTCTGTTGTATATCTGTTTTATTTTTTTCTTGTCGTTTCATGCAATGTAAACGATATTGTAAATATAGACGAGGTCGATGATGTTGCCAAGCACCGATAACTCCACACACACAAATATTTCTATCGTAAGCCATTGATTCTATATTTTTCTCGTAGAAATATATCAATTTGTCTGTTGTCATTAAATATTTGTCAGGACATTTTCATTACACTGTGAACTCAAGACGAATGTAAATGACATATTTCAACGTAAACACAATCATTACTCTTATTAATGGTATCGAAACCAATATACATTGAATGATTTGTGGATGTTGCATATTGATTTTATCTTCAAATGCCCTTCTACCGTATGAACAGTACTTGTCCACTTTAAATATACAGTTCATTATTAATTATGCTAATAAACAAATGGCTGCCGAATATTTTCAAAACAGAAAGTCGGAAATTGACAGTGTTTTATTAAGATAGCAGCACAAACTGGATCGAGACTGGATACCAAATTAATTCTATTGAATCATCGTCGTCCAACGTCATATACGTGCTACTCTAAATCAAAAATAAATCAGTATACCATTGCGTGTTTGTATAACCAGATAGATACAGACATGGTTTCCTAAGTAGAACACAACTGCTATTCTACAGCATTTTATAGTAACAGTTGGTATTGCTATTAATGCTTAGCTACCATTTGGATATCTGGTCAACTTTTTACCATTCCACCAGAAAAATATGTTGACAATCTATTAAATATTTCATTAAACATGCCTGTAATTCATTCTAGTTTTTGAATATGTGTTTGTTTCAAAACCATATTTAATCGTTATCACGGCTCTTGAGAGATTCAGTACCAAGTCGTCGACACGTTAATTAATTTTCCTGATTCGTCGACATTTTATAGTGTCGACGCTTCACTAACATCTTTCATATCCTCCCTCCCTTCCTCCCATATGGTCGACGGGTCAGGAAGAAAATGAATGAGTCGATGAATCGGGACGATACCCTCCTGAGATCGTTGACAATTTTTTAGTTTATCATTCTGTGATATTCATTCGACACCGTGTGTTTTGAGGTCGTCAAAAAATCTTTGTTAATATATTTAAACTAAAGTTGAAGATCATCAAACATACGGTAATTCATCATTTTTTCTGTAATTTTTCTGTGATCAATCTCTAACGTTTTCTGCTTTTTGAAGCACGAAAATAAATATCGAATTCACCAGACGTACGCACAACATAGCCATATATTCTGTGATTCTAAGCGGAGTCAGTTTTCGCTAAAATTTGTGCGAACAGCGAGCGATATACAGTACGGCTCAAAATTATACTAGTGCGCGATTTTTGAAAGTTTTCTACAAAGCCGACTAACTAGAATAAATTCAAATAGTGATTTGGACAGCTGAAATTATGTGCTATCAGATGAGGTGCATGTCACTGTTTCATATAATGCTTAAATAGCCGAATATTTTTGTCTTCATCATATGTCATTACCGAGATACACGCGTAGAAAAATCAATTTGGTCTAAATGCAAAGCTTTAATTTTTAGGACTTTCCGTAAACTTCAATTATTTTCAATTACCCCCAACTTAAGCTTTTTGAACTGCGATTTTCGCTAATATCTACTAAAATGTTACCTTTAAAAAAGCTCCTTACAGACATTGAATTGAGCAGTGTTCTATAGAAAAGAGTCGTGCCTTAGAAAAGTTGACTTCTAAATACTTTTTTGTATTATCTTAAAAATGTGTTTTGAAAATACTCACGATCTTTTAATTATTCAAGAAAATCATTTGAAAAATCGCCAACCTTCAATTTTTCTTAGAAAAGTCTCTTAAGAAAACATTTGATATTAGAAACATCTTTCTTTCTAATATTAACCTCTAACGCTAGCGATTAATTGAGTGTTCTTTTCTCATTTAATCGTCTTGAAAGAGTATCTATCTACTTCTACACAAAACTGCTTGTTAGATACGTGATGATTTGTTTTTTATTATCAATAAGTCTGCCAAAAATACAGTTATTATATCATTTTAAATATGATTACGGTTAAAGTCTAATAGCACACACATCATGTCGAAACAGTTCTGTTTCTCAATTATAGTAGTGTACTTTTGATATTAAATATCCTATGAATAAAACGGAATCTGTTAAAATAGAAACTGCACACTCTTATCCAGCTCTTGCGTCTAGGGTTGAAACGTGGTTAACTTCTACTGGTGCTAACACTTCTTTGCACTTGCATAGCTATAACTTATTAGACAAACTAGAGAGAATCAAGGTGATGGAATAATAATTTATACTCGGGATGATGTTGATCACAAATATTTAAACCGTTAGGGCGATGATGATTTTGAAATTTGTTTTATAAACATAAAAATTTCTCCTAGGCAGACACATTCCTTATTTATTCGTGCTATCGACTGTAATGACACAATGCAACAAAGTTTATTAAATATTTGAGCGGTTCTTTAGATTCAACCAAACGAAACAACAAAACAAAATATGAAGTAGAGATGTTTTTAAATGATTTTAATAGTCACTGTTCCGCTTGGTGCCCTGCAAAGCCTACAACTGCTGCAGGACAGATAATGTACCAATTTGCTTCTAATAAACGTCTCCATTAACTTGTTTCTGGTGTCTAGCTGTTATCGATTGAAGAGCTGTGGTGGATCAACATCCTAATATTTCGAGAAAAGTAGTGGTTTGGTCTGAAAATTAATTGTGAATACAATTTGAACGAATAAACTGTTTACTGTGAAATCAAAATACGCACCTTGGTTTAACGATGACTTACGATAACTACTTAGAAAACGGGATATACTGTATGCTAAATGTTTCTTTGCTATTCATCCATTCACGTATTACTGCTTACACAACTTATTGCTTCTTCACTAACAAAATATCAACTCCAAACACTCTTTAATTCAGTTTAGAGTTCATACAAGAATCAGGTAGATTTTTCCATGATGGATGTGATGCGAAAATCGCTTATCTTCGTGCTACTGTATTCTGGGATAGATTTATCCCCAAATTCTTTTAGACACTTATTTTCATGTATCATTTCCTTGTTTTGGTCAATGTCTTATGTATCTGACATCACTTACTGTGTTGATGAGTATCTTTGTTTTATTTTTGTTCCACTTAATCGTTCTATTATGTATTCAACTATAACAACATATAATGGGTTAGACCAATTTGTCGTAAAATAAACAGTTTAAAGTAAATTGTAAAAATACATGTATGAAAATATATCCATTAGCATTCTTTATTCATACGGTGAGATTCTAATCAAGAAAACAGTGACAAACACTCTGTACACAATAACACAAAGGTAAATGTTTAATAAAATATAACAAATGTCCAAAGTAGTTCAGAAATGATCATTATGTTATTATTATTCGTGAGGTACCCAATCGGACGAAAATACTTCCGAGCCCTTTCGTCGCCCGAAGATCCCACGAGGATTCGAAAGTCTCGAGCATCTCTGTTCGACGGCTCGTTACCTATCTGAAAACCGAGGGTTCAAAACTGATGACCCCTCGAACGCTTATATCGAGAGTTCATAGTTTCATTTTTCGAGGGATCGAGCCTTCGGCTAAGGCCTATTTTTGAGTAACTCGCCGCACCCCTCGAGTGACCTTTCTCATCTGCATGAGCATATGTTTGTGTTTTCTGATATTCTATTCCAATTTGTTATTAATAAATAATCCGTGTTCGTTTAGCGTGTATTTTTTTCTCTTGTATTATAACACGATAGAGATAATTAAATATTTGGCACTTTGTTCACGAACGTACTGCCTAAAAGAAAATTACTGAGAAAGCTATTTTCATTTATCTTTGAGAAACAACTCTCTAGAAAGAGTCTCTTACAGATATCCCTCTTATAAAATTCTGCTTAACACATTCGCGGCGATGTGATCCACCAATGGTAATAAAATAACGACTCAACGAAAAAATTCAAGCAATACCTCATCTGATACAGAATTTCACGGGCTACATGATAGCTATCTTTCAGCCTGCTTTTATTCCACTGGAAATCTCAACATAGTCTCTGTTTCTAAAAAACATAGCAAGTTACTGAATTCACTACTATAAACGTACAAAAAAAACAAGTATATAAAACTGATATCTCTAGTGAGCTCCTGCTCCATATTCAGAAATATCACGTTCTGCTGTCAGAGACTTTTAACGAGCTTGTTTTTTCCGTTCAATTACTGTCTCTCGTTTTACTACTACAGACTCACGAGGGAACCTTTCGAGATGATTAAACGCTTTTTGCTCGGAATCTGGTGAGTTATAGGTCATCGACCATGCTGATTACGAATATGACCATGGGGATTGCCCTTCGAAGACCTGATTTTCTATAAAACTAGTCAACAATCATGCCTCATTAAGAAAGGTTCGGATTATATTTTAAAGTTTCTAAAAAACTAGTTTTCTAGAAAACCAGGTCTTCGAAGGGCAACCCCCATGGTCACATTCGTAATCTGCATGCTTGATAACCTATAACCCACCAGATTCCGAGCAAAAAGCGTTTAATCAACTCGAAAGGTTCCGTCGTCAGTCGTAGCAAGACAGCTGATCAATTCTTTAGTGGGGAAAGAAACCAGAGCTACTCAGCACCCAAAAATGAATTCTAAAACTTTTAAGGTAGCCTATCTTGTAGCCCATGAAATTCTGTATCAGATGAGGTATTGCTTGAAGTTCTTCACTGAGTTGTTATTTTACAAATAGGACTTTAAGCTGGTAGAGTAGGCTAATTTAACGTTAATTGATATTAATTCGTCAATAGTAGAAAGAAAAGAACAAAATTTTTTACATCTTTTCTCATAGTAAATATTCTTCACATATTTCTCTATCGATACAGACAAGAACCAAGTTTTTATGATGAATGGAGAATAGATAGAAGTTTTGTAATAATAGCACCGCGCTCAAAAACTTAACATTTTTTTAAGTAATTAATTTTTTTCTCAGCCAAATAATGTAAGTAAGCTGAAAAAACTTCAGGATATATACTTCGAAGTGTCCTCTACAAACTGGAAAGGCTTGCAGAAAAAATTCAAAGCTTGAAAGTATTGCTGGTTTTGGCTCCATCTCCGGCTGCTGTACAGCACGCTATGGCGTGTACGCGACTTGAAAATCATTTACTTACATATTTAGCAATTAAATCGCGCATCGTCCGAAGACGCTGTGCTAGCTGCTATGAGAAAAGCAGGGAGCAACAATCAAGAGAAACGAGTCATGCGACAACAAAGAAAATAAAAACCTTCTGTTCTGATTGTGACAATTTTTTTGTCTTGATTGTTTTAACGAGAAGCATCATGCTATGCAATAAATGATTCAAAAAATAGCGAAGACAGAGCAGATGACACATTATGTGTAACCTCCTGCCTAAGAAAAAAGGAAAAGAAAGTGTTTTCCTATTAAGTTTCTTATTAAAATATAGTGGGACCCACCGGTGGGGCCCATCGCCTCGAATGTGTTAAATAAACTGCTTAATCATAGTGTCCTGAAAAAATATACTGAAAGAAATTGATTTTCACACAACTGATAATGTTTCTTATTCTAAGAGGCTTTTGTTTATAGTAAACGTTACAGTTACAGTTTAAAAGTATAACATAATACGGTTTATTAGCTCAGCTAAATATCATTAGTAATGCAAAAATCCGTGTCTTAATAATTCAAAAAATACTTTAAAAGGGTAAGAAACATTTTGAAGCACTAGATGAGTCTAATTCTGTAATCTGTAAAGAAAGCCCAGATGAATGCGCAAAGACTAATTAGAATAACTGCTGCCCAATTGCATTTTCTATGCCACGTCGACACCAAGCGTTGTTCATTTTCTTCATCACGTTTAATCGATACATCAACGGCCTCAATTTGTTTATCGTCTAAATTAATTTGTTTCTCAATACCACAGATCCAGGACAATGCAACTTTAATGTAATATAATGTTCCCGTTGTATCTTCTACATGAAACAAAGCAATAATACGCGTCTGCGCTATACTCTCAAATACTCGAGCACTTACCCGTATTAAAAAGATGGAGAGCAGGATTATGATGAACAGATTCTTTCTTCTTTATTAAATAATTTTGTATTGGAAAACGTGTATCTGCTTTATGAAAAAATCCCGGTAGTGTTGGAATTTCAAGAGGTTTGTTCGGATTGTCTAAATCAAACATTGTTAATCCAGAAATCTGTAAAACAACAAAAATACATATTAACAACATTCTTTTTGAAATATCTATTTTTCTTAGTACATATTGTTCTGGTAATGGTCTTGTGATGAGACTAACAACAATTGTCACGGTGGCTGAGATAAAAAATAGTAAAATCGAAAAATAGAGAAAATTAAATTTAATAACAGATGGCCGTTGATCTAAATGTTCTAGAGCACATGGCATGGCTGAGTATGAATATTCCCATATAAATCGAATAACGCCTACAATTAAGCCGACGACCAAACCCCAAAAGGCACCCTATAAATCCAATACACGACTATTTTCAATGGAATACGTTATGCTTAGTTATACCTCTTCATTTATTCTTTTCCATAAAACACCTAGAAGATAACACGCTGCTACTGGAGGTGCGAGGAATGATTGAACGGCTTAAAATGACAAGAGAAATATTTACCAATTTTTTTTTCTATATAATTAACGTTTACCTTGTATATAATCGAATAGTCGACTTCCTTGAGACGCTTTAATGACTAAAAAACAGCTTAGAGAAAAAAGTGAGTGCTAAAACTAACACACGGTTAAACATACTTGGAATCCACAGAATTGAGACGGTGACTAGTAACATGACGAAAACTCTGAATAATGAGTAAATTTTTGAATAATACAATGATCGAATTAAATAATATACAATTTTTACCTTCCAACAATCATTAGTTCATATTGTGGTGCATTTCTTCGAAATCGTTGCCATATATCGATTGTAAAGATTGTTGAACTTGAATTAAATATCGATGTTAACGATGACATTAAAGCAGCTATCATGCAAGCCAAGGTAAGTCCACGAATTGCTATAGAATGGTATATTATACATTGATTACATATACATAGAATTGATTAAAACAAATTTACCATTTGGCATTAGTCTAATTACCAGCAACGGATAGGCTATGTCATTACATCCATTTGCACTATGACACACTTGATAACATGTGACTGGATCAGCACACCCAATTTCATCTAAATAAAACTATTTGTGAGTAAATTAACCATATATTCTGAATATACATACCAGGATAAAGAATTCGAGCAACCATACCTGAAAAAGAAATTTTTATACGAAATGTCTTAATGTGTGCAACTGAGTTAAATACTTACCTGGAAATATCATTAGAAACAAAGGTAAGAATTTCAATGTTCCTGCAACAAGACATCCCGCTCGAGCATGGGTCAAGTTTTTCGCTGCTAAAGTTCTTTGAACAATCACCTAAACGAGTTCAATGAAATTAAATCTTTATCTCTCTCTCTCTCTCTCTCTCTCTCAATTTATGTGTATTCTCAGTACTCAGAAAGAGTATTATCACTGTTACGCGACATATTAATGACTTCGTTTAGCTAATGCCTTTAAAGGTTGGAAAATGAAAACCAAATATAAATATTAGCTTGAGAAATACATTTACACCGCGTAGCCAGCAAAAGCATTACAGATGCAAGAAAAAAATTACGTCTGGGGTCAGAAAATTTTAAAAAGCGGTCAAGCCGGGTCGGGCCAGATAAATTCCACGTTTGGTTGGGCCCAGCTGGGTTTGGTCCGGAAACTTTCATCCTAAAAGGCACTCTCGTATACAGCGCAAGTTTTGGTCACATTAAAAAGCATATGAATGTATCTTTGTAGGCGACATTTCAAAAATGCCGTGTAATATGCCCAAACGTTGTACCAGATTTATTAAAAAAAATGTGGCATCGATAAGAGCAGTGCTCAGCACATATCCGGTTTATTTGATCTGATTTTTGAGGAAATATGAGCATATCACCGATAGAGAAATAAAGTTCATGCAGAGTCGCGGAAAAATACATTTTCGTATTCAGCACAAGGCCGTGCCCACCCCTTGGGATTTCACTGCAGTGTATATCTGATAATAATATTCGAAGACTGAAATTTTTATATGGAAATTTAGACTAGTAAAGATGGAATTTTTTCTAGATGCACACTCCTTACCAGAATTCTGGCTACGGCCCTGATTCAGCACACTCGATAACCTAGAAGATTTTCTATTTTTGGTGATACTGCCAAAAGTTTAAGATAAATTTTGAAACTAATATTATTTTCCTATGGAAAACTTTTTTTCGCCATTTTTTTAAAATTTTGGCAGTATCCTCGCCCAAAATAGAACATCTTTTGGGTTACCGAGTGTGCTGAATACGAAAACGTACTTTGTCGCGACTCTGCATAAACTTTATTTTTTCCTTAACGTTGATATACAAAAAAATATGTAGTTTAATGATCAAGGTTCGAGCGTTGACCAACTATATGGAAAAATTCTTTCGGTTAGTAAATAAGTAAAACATCGACGTGCTAAGACAAAGAAGTGAATAAATAGAGCACAGAGCACATTCCATCGAAGACACACTGTAAAGCACAAAGATATGTCTTCTGTAGGATAATACTGAATGTGTCCTGTTATGTGCAACTTGTTAATACGACACATTTCAAAGTGTATCTCATGTGTCGTCGTGTATGACATGCACAGAAGTGTCTAAATGCACAGCACATTTCTGGCAAAGCATTCCAGATGTGATCTCAGACACAGCTAGGGATGCACCAAACCCAAAGCCATATTTGGGTTTGGTGAAGATTTGGAATTTCGGATTTGTAATCCCAAACACTTTGGATTTGGTCTGGTCACCAAACCCAACGAAAGTATTATTATCGTTAGTAAACTGTTAGACATATGCCCATAATAAATTTCGAACT